AATTTCTTTTTTTCCTAGATTAATATTTAAATTTAAAATAAAAAAAAGAAAATATAGGGGAATTACTATTATATAAATTACGTCAGATGTACTACAACAATAAAAAGGATACGTGTCTTAAAGAAAATATATATTGCTTTACAAAATAACAAATGAAGTGGTGTAGGCTCCTGCTTTTTAGGCTTTTAGCAGTAGTGTAGTTTTCATTTTTTTGGCTTTTAGCAAAGACTTTCCCTCCTTTTTTTAATTTTATTTTCTTTCTAGATTAATATTTAAATTTAAAATAAAATTTTTTAATTTCTGATATATTCATTGATTTTGTCTGAATCTCAAAGATCTCTAACCAAAAAAATATGAATAATATAATTTATTTTTAGAAAAACATAGTTAAAAAACATAATGAAATTTGGTTTACTCCCTTATTTTTATCGAAACAAAAAAAAAGTTGCATATATTGTTTGAAAATAGCGTAAAAACTAAAAAGTACTGTGAATCACAATAAAATGACAATTAAAAATATGTGAGAATCATATAAGAAATTTCGTTTACATTTCTAAGATCACTTGTATCACATAAAATAAAACAGATAGAGTAATATATATTATTCGAAAATAACATAAAAGGTACATAAATTAACAATTTTAAATTTTTTTTTTTGGAGAACACATAAAAATTTAAATTCACTTTTCGAATTTCATTTGTGTCACATAAATTAAAAGAAAAAAAATTAACATACTTTGGATCTGCGCTGGAACATGAACATAATACTACTAATCTAATACATACATCACCTTTGAACATTTCAATGCTCATACAACAAATTGAATGTATAATGTATCATTTATAAAATATAGTATTTAATGTATCATGCTAGACAATTGGTGATGATACGATAGTTTAAAAAATCATTGATGCTATAAAAACAAATGTGTTATCATTTCATCAATGATTTTTTATTAGGAACTTTAAATTTGAATCAACATTATAAAAAAATATAATATTACATTTATTAAAAAGTATTTTATATTAATTAAATGTGTTTCAATAAGATTAATAATCTAAAATCAAATATTATTTTCTAAAACTTTGAAGTATATATGCCTAAAAAAGAATAGTATTGTTTCTTTTTTCTTTTTCATAACCGTGGCTTTTAGTTTAGTTTTAATATTTCGAATAATATTCTTATTTATAACAGTGAAGAGTTATTTAGACTAATAACATGTTTACTATGTATTTTCAATGTAGTATCTTAGATATTATTGTAAAAACATTATTGTTATTGTAGAATATTTGAATTGTTTAGTTAAAAATTTTAAATTATTTTTATTAAAAAGTAAATAATTTTTTTCTAAAATATAGATCTTTTATTCTTTTTAGGGTAAATACATAAGTATTCCCAACATATGTCCGTAATCTCAAAGATACTTATACTATATTAAGGTTTTATTACTCTTCCGAACTTATTTTATAAATAATTTTCTATTCTCTTTTGATCTACGTGACACTATTTTTTGAACCTGACACGTGCTAACAATTTTTTCAAATTATATGGGTGATAGTATCACATAAGATGAAAAGGGATATAAAATTACTTATAAAATAATATTATGAATAATAAGACATTAGTATAGTATAAATATGTCTCTAAAATTTTGGATATATATTAGGAGGATATTTATGTTTTAAAAAAATCTTTAATATTATAAAAAATAATGTGAAATTATTAAAATTTAAAGGACTTAAAAGGCAAATGTCATCAAGCCACCCATGCGCTAAATTTTTAACGCAAATTTGAATTTAGTTCATTCAGATAAAAATATTAAACATCGAATGAGAAAACGAAAAATGAATTCTATATAGAGGTGCAATTACTTAAATACCCTGAACTGCCTTATCTCGTTAGGGATGACAGCAGAAATTACAAATAAAATAACGTGGCCAATTAATAGGAGAATCAAACAGCCAATTAGCAGTTAACCGTAAAATTTCCACTTTTCCATTGAAACCTCTCTTCAATTATCGCTTTGCCCTTTTTGCTTCTTTGATCTATCGATCGTCTGATCAACCTTTAATTGGTTAGTTTTTCATTGTATAATCGGACCCAATTTATCAAAGTTTCAAATATAATGTTTAATTTTGTGAATTTGGTAATGTGTAGTTGTTTTAAGCATGCATAGGCTATGGCAGGAAGCAATAATTTGTGGGGTTTCTTGTTGATTTTTAGTTTGATGATTATTGATCGACATTTTGGTATCTGGGTTTTGTTTTTTTTCGCCTAAAAGATTGTTTTTTTTTTGGTTTTGTGACTTGTGTAGGTGTTTTCAAACTGAGCATTTTTGTGCCTTTTATGTTTAAAGGCGACAATCAAGGAAGAAGTTGATATTTGGATGATAAAAAGGTGAGGCTTCGGTTCTGCTGTATGTTTTCTTTTTCTCATCCATGAATTGCATAAGATTGTGTATCAGTTATATATGTTACGTTGACCTTAATGATACTGGAAGATTATGTTCTTTTATGTGTCTTGCTTGGGTGTATGCCTGTGTAGTTTGCTTTTCCTTTTCTGGTGTTTGGGAAATAATCAACTCAATTGGAGTGTTTTGATTTATATGTGTGTTTATGCATCCTGTTACTAAGTTGGCGAGAGAGAGGTGATTAGATAGAACATGACACAGTTTCAGCTTACCGAGGACATGATAGGAGAGTGTGGAGGACATGGATTATGACAGAAGGTTGGTAGGTAGCAGTGTGCTGTCTTGTTGTCCGTACATATTAGTAGTTGTAGTATTGCTCCTGTAGTTTCTTGTTCTTCCACTTCTTTACTGTTTGTTGATTTCTTGTATCTCAATTATTGTTTTGTTTTGTTGTAGTTTTTGTTCTGTTTCGATATGTTGTTTCTTGTACTTTCGTTACTTCTTTCGTTGGACTGCATTGGACTTTTTCCATTGAGACGAGGATCTATCAGGAAGAACCTCTCTATCTCTTAGGTTGGGTAAGGTTTGAGTACTCTCTACCCTTCCCAGTTTGTTTATTATCGTTATTGTTGTTCTCATGTAATTTCTGGGTAGTGTTTTTTCATGAGCATCAAACATTTGAATGAAAGCTGTGTAATTTGTCTTGCCTCCTCTGGTAACCAAACATGACATAAGTTAATCTCGAAGTCTTAATGAGGGTTGGTGTTGTTTTAAAAAAACACACAACTAAAATCAAGATTTTATTTGGTGTGTTCCCAACTTGAAAATTTGCATCCGGGTTTGTCAATCTCACTTCCCTGCCTGAATATCTACCACAAGAATGTGAATCTCTCTATCTTCAGTGATATGGTGTTAAAGCTCTCTGACAGAACTGATATTCTACTTGATTTATGGGATACATGAAGTTTAGATGGTTTGGCATCTTGAGATATACCCTTCATGACTAGTGACTTCGCCAATGATCGGTTAAGGTGATTTTGAATGCAGAAAGAAGAGCTGGCTAAGTCTCCCCACATCATATTTATCTGGTTCATTATATTTACCACATGCAACTACTATAGGAAAAACATTTATGAGTAGGGGAATTACTATTATATAAATTACGTTAGATGTACTACAACAATAAAAAGGATACGTGTCTTAAAAAAATATATATTGCTTTACAAAATAACAAATGAAGTGGTGTAGGCTCGTGCTTTTTAGGCTTTTAGCAGTAGTGTAGTTTTCATTTTTTTTGGCTTTTAGCAAAGACTTTCCCTCCTTTTTTTAATTTTATTTTCTTTCTAGATTAATATTTAAATTTAAAATAAAAATTTTTAATTTCTGATATGTTCATTGATTTTGTCTGAATCTCAAAGATCTCTAAGCAAAAAAATATGAATAGTATAATTTATAATTATTATAATTAATTAAAAAAATATGCAACATATCTGTACATGTACAAGAAGTGTTTATAATTTCTTTTTCTTTCTAGATTAACATTTAAATTTAAAATAAAAAAAAGATAGGGGAAGTGGTTATAATAATTACACAAGATGTAGTACAGCAGTAAAAATGATATGTGTCTTAAAGAAAATATATATTGCTTTACACAATAACAAATGCATGCTTTCATTTTTATGCTTTTAGCGATGGGGTGTAGGCTACTGATTACATATTCAGGCTTTTAGTAAGACTGTTACTTCTTTTTTATTTTATATATAACTTTATTATTATTATTATTTAATTATAAATGGATGTAATATTTACCTATCCATTATTTTTTTACCAAGTGGCTGAATATTCATCACACATTATGAAATATCTTTTATGTAGAAATTTCCATCCAACCTTTAAATAACTCTTCATTTTTCTACTTTCCATTCAACCTTTAAGTAGCTCTTCATTTTTCTTTTCTGCTCTTAACATATACTTTAATTTTAAATTTGTGTGGTCTTCTGTTGTTCAAAATCCAGGTATTTTGTTCCTACTCTTTTATATATATATATATATATATATAATATAATATAATATAAATATAGTAATAATTTCAAGAAAGCTGGCATATTAATGTTTTGTATTTACATCAATTTAGTTTTTTTGCTTGTATAAATCTTCTGTACACATTCACTATTATTAATTAAATTATAATATTATAATTTATTGTTCAAAATCAGCCTTTGCATTTATATCAAATTTAATTAATGATTTCTGCCATTAACTTTACAGAATTTCGACTTCGTTGGGATAGTTGTTCGCTCCTGTAATTCACTTTTCTCTCGGTGTGTGGTAAGTAGTACCAACTAATCCCTTATTTAACAGACCTTTATCCACTTGAGACAGCAGAGTGCTTTGTGAAGTTTATATAGACAATGATTTTTAATATAAAATTACATATTTACCCTTCTTGCTTTTGAAAATGAAATTTGTCCATTTGTTATTAATATAAAATGACCACTATACCTTGGTCGTCCTCTTACCACTCTTGTATATACTATACTACTCATGTATATAATACATATTTTTTTCATCTTGTGTTGTATAAGTTATGTGATGCTATTCTGTGCTAACATGTGATTTTTTTATCAAAGATGATTCAGAAGATCCAAGCATGAAAGATGCATCTGTTTTTGTCTAATTTTATATAGTATGTAAATGTATGTAATTAGTATTCCCACAAATGAAAATGTTAAACTATGTAAGTATCTCACTTGGACATTCAGTAGTATGACATTCACATAAAAATATATTATGAACAAATTTGGCAGCTATAATGTGTTCGATTCACTAATTTTTCTCATTGAAATATTAATTTTGTTTGTTCAATATGCAACTCATTAAATTTAGGTCCATTATAAATACCTATAATGCTCCCAACTACAGCATCATCAGCTGAAAGCATGTCTGCAAGCCTGTATCAGTATTGCATACAAATTCAGCAACTCCTAAATATTAATTGATAATTTGTTAACATTCAGCTACTCTTGATGTTCACTTTCTTCATATTGTCAATTTGCTTAATAAACAATGCATTTATATTGTGAACATACATCGTAAAATAAAATGATAATAAATATATAAAATATTAAAATATTAAACGTTGAGCCCGTGCTTAGCACGGGCAACGCTCATCTAGTATATATATACACACACACACAATTCAGCTTTCTCCATTCTTTGTCCTCTCTCACTCGCCTCTCCACTTACTCTCCCAATCTTACTCGTCGCACTCCTCCCTCAAATATCTACAAACCATAGTTTAAATTTATAACTAAAGCATAATTATAGTTCTTTTTAAATGACGATATGTGAAAATTACACTGAAATATATTAAAGTTGATATTTTTAAAATTTTTAAGACCTTAAGCCAAAATATTTTTTCTACGTACATACTGGACAACATATTTTTTTTTGCTCTATAAACCTCAATTATTGACCTAATTTGTCCATTATCCCATTTTCTACGATGAATAAATAAATAAATCATCACGTTCCCACCAATGCCATTTAAATACGAAACTTTTATTTTTTGTTGCATTTACTTTTCAGCGGCCATTCATTTCACAAACTTTTCACTTTCCAACTGATGGAGATGGAAGAGACACAAAATAATAATAATAATAATAATAATTTATATTGTATAGTATAATACAACTAGCATAAAATAGAAGTACTATCATCAAAATCACAAAAACTTAAAAAACATAATAATAATTTTTTTAAAATTTATTTCCTCTCAACATTTCAAAAAATAATATTAGAATTAAAATGTGTATGTAACTTGGTAACCGAAAAATTAGTAGAAACATAAAAGAACTTAACAAAAAAATTGTAAGAGTATAAATTAAATTTCTTGGGCAATGTAAAACATAAAATAATGATTACATATTGGACTTTTAAAAAGTGATTTTAAAAAGTAGAGAAAGTGGTTTTACTATTTGAGGATAATTTGTGTACAAGATATTAATGAGATTACCCAATCACTCTCAACTTTTCACACAAATTTCAAAATTCTCAACATTTTCTTGCTCGTGCCATTTCGTGATAAATTGGTGTCTTACCAATTATATTTTTCGTTAATTTTAATGGTAAGCAAAATTAATAATGACTACTCTTTCATATGAATAAATATTTAATTTAAGGTACATGCTCTTTCCAAAACGTAAAGTATCAATAGTAGTTGATCTTGTCTTTTATAAAGGAACAAAATAGTACTAATACTTTTTTGTACGGAACAACTTTAGAGAAAATAAGGGAAAAAGAGACATTTTCAAAACCCAATAAATAATACTCCCTCTGCTTAAAAATGTTGACCTAATTTAATTTGGAACGAAGTTTAAGAAAAGAAAAAAAACTTTTTAATCTTGTGATTCTAAATTAAAGTTATGTCAAATGTATCAAAATGTTCTTTAATCTTGCGATTTTAAACATGTTACGAGAAAAATTAAAGTTAAAGTGTTGCCAAAAAAGGAAAGGGGTCACTCTTTTTTAAACAAACTATAAAGGAAATAGGAACATTCTTTTTTTAAACGCAGAGAGTATTATCTAATTTTTTTATTTTTTAAAGATAGTGACAGCCAACATTTAGGTCTTTTTACTGTAAATAGGTCATATATCATCTCAAAAAAGAGAAAAGACAAAGTAACCATTTAAGTTATCCCGAATTTTTAAAAATACATTTTAACTTTATAAATGTCCTATTACCCCAACAAACAATTATGAATCGGTATTATTATAATATTTTTCGATCAGCCCCAAATTTTAAGAAGCAAGTGTATGCACACACTAATTGATGCATGACACGTGTTAATTTAATTAAAAATATTTTTTTTTCATTTTAAATTTTTCCTTTATTTTTTTTGTCTCTCTCTTTTACTTTTTGAATTTTAATTTTGACTTATTTTAAGTTTCATTTCATCTTCCACCTTTGTCCATGTTCTTTTTTTTTCTTCACCTCCCACCCCTCATGTCAAATTGAATTTCACTCTCATTTTTTTCTTTTCTTTTCTTTTCTTTTTCTTCTTCTTCTCCGGTTAAATTTTATTTATGATATTATTTATACTTTACTAAATTATTGATAAAAAAATTAATTATTTTTCTAAATAATTTAAAACTTTGAAGTATCATCAACTATCCATTTTCATATAAATCCAAAATTAGAATCATAATTTTAAAAGAATAAATTAATTTTCAAAAATTGAAAGAACTTAATTGAAATCGGATAAAACAAAATTATATGATACTTCCTAATCAACTCATTAGTTTAGCTCATTTTCATATAATTTCAAAACTAGAAATGATAATATTGAAAGAATCATAATTCTCCGAAATTTGAAAAAGTTTAATTGAAATTTGGATTTAAAAACTAAATAAGACCTACTAATCATCTTGAAATCTAATGTGCTTATCAAATTGTTCGAATGTAATATAAGGTTTAGATATAGTTTTAAATTAAAGAGATAATTAAACTAATAATAGTTTAAAAGGGAGAGGAAATTGTGATAAAAAGTGATATTTAAAGTGAGGAGCTTCAATTAAGATGAAAATGAATTTTTGAAGAATAAGGAAGAAAGAAAAAGAAAAAAATAATAAGGAGAAAAAGTTAAAATAATAAAAAAACAATAAATGAATTTTATAGAAAATATTTGTAAAAATAAAATAATATTCATTTTTTTGTTTGGTCACGCTCTTTAAGAGAGTGCATATGCTCTCCATGCCATGTAGACAATAAATGATATAATAATTTCAGTTCAGAATTGTTTAGGGGGATAATAGGACGCTTGCATAATATAGGTGTCTTTTTGAAAATTGGAGACAATTTCAGGTGTCACTTTATGTCTTTTCTCCTCAAAAAACAAAAACAACTTCATAAAATTAAAAAACCTTATGCATAGTTTTTGTTATACTTTAAATAATAGTTGATAACATCAGATATGTTGAAAAAAAATCATCTACCCCTTTCCTTTTATTTTTCAAATCAGATCTTCAACATCAATAATTTCTACTTCTTTGAAAATTCATGAAAGAAACAACATAAACCCCGAATTTGCAGGGCTCAGTCAACCTATCTGATTAAAAAATTTGTTCTAATTTTCAACAAATATTTGTTCTCCTATGTCTTCTAACAAGTGAGCAACATGTATTCTCTTATTTATTTTAAGAGTCTTCTTATACAAAATTTGACAAAATTATTAACAAATATCTTATAACAACAAGTTACAAGAAATAATTTTTTAACACGAAAAACAACCTGGATCTGATACCATTTGTAGGATCGATAGAAAGAAATCGACAAATTATATATCTTATATTTTGCAGCGGAAGTCGATTACTCCAAAGTCATGCTTTGAATCACTAGGATGCAAAATTTGATTAACAAACTAATTGTTTATATTCAGACAAAAAAAGTTTTTTTTCCTTCTGATTTGTGTTATCTTTTATTATTTTTATTTTTTCGTTGTCTCTTTCCCTTTTTACTACAAAGGAATAAATCCTTTTTTCAACAGGGGTTGAGAAGTTTCTCTCCCTTCATTTTCAAATAAGAAATAAGTAGGTCTTATCTCTTATTCGACAATTTCTTAGTTCGGATTGGGTCATCCACATGGGCGATCCATGACCCAAAACTTGCATGTGCAATGAAACAATCGCAGCTTTTGCGACATATATTGTCTTAGAAAAAATCTTATCAAATTTAAAGGTTGAAAAATATCAAGAGTTAATAACTTCGATGGTTACTCAACTATCATTTCAAAGTCACTCAACTTTTATTCTCAACTCAAAAGTCACTAACTATGACTTCTTTGCACAAAGTATCACTCCACGTATTTATTATTTTTTCATTAAAATTTGTTGACATGAAATTTTCATTTTAACTAAAATATTTAAAACCAAATACATATTTGAACCATTTAATGACCTCCGTGATTAATCCGATCCACTATAAATATAATATTGGACTTTTTGTTTTACCATTAATTCCCTTAATCATTCTCCGTTGCCTCCCCATTCTTTCCCTCTACTTCTTCTTTTTTCTTTTCAGTTCTTTAATTTTTTAATTTCTCAATTTCGACTTCTTCTGCACATATCAATATTGAATTGAGAAGGTAATGAATTTGCTTCAATTTATCATTGTCTTCTTATTGAATGAAATGTCTTATTTTTGAAATGTGAAAAAATGACTGTTGGTGGTGTATTTTTCTCTTGAGCTTTGAACATTCTCATTGATAGGGTCTTATATACTTCAATTTAACAACCTCTTTATTTTCGTTTTTACGTTGTCTGTATTCTGTTTTACTACAAAGGAATAAAGCTTTTTTATCAAGAGGGATTGAGATGTTTTTCAGTTTAATAATTGTTCTTCCCTTCTTTTTCAAATAAGAGATAAATAGTTCTTATGCTCTTATCAGACAATTTATTGTGTTGGATCAGGTCGGTCCACACGGGTGACCCACGACGCAAATCTTACATTTGCAATGAAACAATCGAAACTTTTGTGACATGCATTGTCTAGAAAAAATCTTATCAGATTTAAAGGTTGAAAAATATCAAGAGTTAATAACTTTTTAGGTCACTCAACTATCATTTCAAAGTCACTCAACATTCATTTTCAACTCAAAAATCTCTCAACTATTGCACAGAACATCACTCAATTTATTTATTGTTTTTTCATTAGAATTTGTTGACATAAAATTTTCATTTTTTAACCAAAATATTTAAAAACTAGATAAATATTAAAATAAAAATAACATCCTATACACATTTAAGACTATATATATCGAGTTATGAAC